GTTGAAGATGACATATTGCTTGACACTTTGATAAAGTTCAAAACTAAACATATTGTTTAGCCATACATATGTACACATGCATGCATGAGTTGTGTGTGTATAAATAAAAGAAATGTAGTAATTAACAAAATTCAGAGTACTGATTATTTCTGGAGAGGAATAGGTAGTAGGATGACATGAGGAGGAGAGTAAATAGGCATCATGTAAATTATTAGTTATTCTCTATCTTAAAGTTGGTAGTTGTTCACAGGCGTTTGTCCAGATGTGCTATTAAGTAAGCAAATAAAATAGCCCTGGAGGCCTCCATGATGACAATATGCCATAAAACAAGGAATATGACTTACCTGAATCTGGTACTTGAGTTTTCCGGTGAATAAATAGACGATATAATATTATAGAGGCTTCACCCAGCTGGCTTACTCTAGCAGTGAGTGTTCATTTCTATTCTTTTTGTCCTCTGGAGAGCTGGTAAAAAAGTAACACCTCTGTGTGGGCTGCCTGGGACTAGAAGAGTCCTAAATCTAAGGTGCTCTGTCCTTTAGGTGGAGCAGTGCCTCTCAGTAGCTTTCCACACTGCAACTGTGCATGCCCCACACAGACCTACAGAATCAGAACCTTCGAAGGAAAGACCCAGGTATACACATTTTCAAAGGCTTATTAAGTGATCCTGATGGCAGCAGGGACTGGAACCCATTCCTCATAGAATATTCTTAGAAACTGTAAGTAGGTAGCTTGTCACAAATGTTGTTTTTCAGAGTGCTACTCCCAGGTATTCTGATATAAGAAGCAAGGGAAAGCACCTAGGAACCTGCATTGCTAATAAGCATTTTCCAGGTGATTCTGATGACGGCACTTCTAACGACCACATTGAGAAACATTGCCCCAAAGGTTCCAAAATACTAGGACCTCAGGGTGATTACTCTGTGTATGCATTTCCTAGGGCTGCCATAAATAAAAGGCCACAAACTGGATGACTTAACACAACAGAAATTTACTCTTTTAGGTCTGGAGGCTGGAAGTCTGAAATCGAGGCATTAGTTGGGCCATGCTCCCTCTGCAATTTGTAGGATAAAATACTTCCTTGGCTATTCTGCATGCTGGCATTTGCTGGTAATCCTTGGCATTCCTTGGCTGGTAGATGCATTGTTCCAATCTCTGCCTCTGTGCCCTCTTATAAGAAACTAGTCATATTAAATTAGCGTCAATGACGTTATTTTAAATTGATTTCATGTGTAAAGATGCTATTTCCAAATAAGGTCACATTCACAGGTACCAGGTGTTAGGACATGAGCCTGTTCTTTGGGGGACACAATTCATCTCATACATATGTACACATGCATGCATGAGTTGTGTGTGTATAAATAAAAGAAATGTAGTAATTAACAAAATTCAGAGTACTGATTATTTCTGGAGAGGAATAGGTAGTAGGATGACATAAGGAGGAGAGTAAATAGGCATCATGTAAATTATTAGTTATTCTCTATCTTAAAGTTGGTAGTTGTTCACAGGCGTTTGTCCAGATGTGCTATTAAGTAAGCAAATAAAATAGCCCTGGAGGCCTCCATGATGACAATATGCCATAAAACAAGGAATATGACTTACCTGAATCTGGTACTTGAGTTTTCCGGTGAATAAATAGACGATATAATATTATAGAGGCTTCACCCAGCTGGCTTACTCTAGCAGTGAGTGTTCATTTCTATTCTTTTTGTCCTCTGGAGAGCTGGTAAAAAAGTAACACCTCTGTGTGGGCTGCCTGGGACTAGAAGAGTCCTAAATCTAAGGTGCTCTGTCCTTTAGGTGGAGCAGTGCCTCTCAGTAGCTTTCCACACTGCAACTGTGCATGCCCCACACAGACCTACAGAATCAGAACCTTCGAAGGAAAGACCCAGGTATACACATTTTCAAAGGCTTATTAAGTGATCCTGATGGCAGCAGGGACTGGAACCCATTCCTCATAGAATATTCTTAGAAACTGTAAGTAGGTAGCTTGTCACAAATGTTGTTTTTCAGAGTGCTACTCCCAGGTATTCTGATATAAGAAGCAAGGGAAAGCACCTAGGAACCTGCATTGCTAATAAGCATTTTCCAGGTGATTCTGATGACGGCACTTCTAACGACCACATTGAGAAACATTGCCCCAAAGGTTCCAAAATACTAGGACCTCAGGGTGATTACTCTGTGTATGCATTTCCTAGGGCTGCCATAAATAAAAGGCCACAAACTGGATGACTTAACACAACAGAAATTTACTCTTTTAGGTCTGGAGGCTGGAAGTCTGAAATCGAGGCATTAGTTGGGCCATGCTCCCTCTGCAATTTGTAGGATAAAATACTTCCTTGGCTATTCTGCATGCTGGCATTTGCTGGTAATCCTTGGCATTCCTTGGCTGGTAGATGCATTGTTCCAATCTCTGCCTCTGTGTCCTCTTATAAGAAACTAGTCATATTAAATTAGGGTCAATGACGTTATTTTAAATTGATTTCATGTGTAAAGATGCTATTTCCAAATAAGGTCACATTCACAGGTACCAGGTGTTAGGACATGAGCCTGTTCTTTGGGGGACACAATTCATCTAATAGCACTATTTTAGTGTTTTAAGACTCCCCAACCAAACAATAACACAGATTAGCTATGTTCTTTATCCGGGCTATCTAGATAGAAAGATTGACAGTTCACTTTGAAAGGTCAGTGCACAAAGAATCACCTGAAAAACTTGTGCTTAGAATGCATATTCCTGGCCTTGATTCAAGCTGTTAGGACTCAGTAGTCCTGGGGAAGGGCCTAGGAATCTACATTTTAAAAGATGTAGGGGGTCCAGCATATCACTCTTGAGAAAAACTGGGTTTGGATGAATAAGCAAGGTCAAGTACCAAGTGTTTTGGGGAGAGAGAGCCCCCAGGAGTAGACCCTGAAATCTGAATTTATAACAAGCTACTCAGGTGAATCATTGCCTTTGGGACATGGTGCTTCTTGGGAACTAAAGAGTACCTACTATGATTGTTCCACTTGGTAATGATCAGAAATCAAAACAGATGATCCTTTATTGAAAAAATGTTTCCTAGACCATTGCTCTTCTTATTTCTTTTGAACCAGGTCACTCTGCATGGGCAGTGGGGGCAGTAAGTAAGTAGACTAAGAATCATGCTAATTACAGAAGGTATAGTAATGTGGGCTAGTGAATATAAACTTTAAGCTGAAGTGCTCCCAGACTGGGGGCAGAATTGAAGATTATAGAAAGAATAATGTGACTCTTGGAGTTATTTCTATTAACTCTCCTTGGATATGTTAAAGTGACAGAACTAGGCTCTCCAATACAATTGCACATAGAAGTTTGATAAGTAATAGTGGTTTTGATTATTTATTTCAGTCACTCATATTCAAAATTTATGTTTGGAATGACAAGCTGAATCATTTTGGAAGGCTTCAACTGTAAATAGTTGACCCTATTAACACACTGGAGTGGTTTTGCCAATAAAGACAAAGTTCTGTCTTTACCAACAATGAAAGGTGGAGTCATTTGCTCAGAACACTCTCTCAATTCCTTCTGATCTACAAATACTAAAGAAAAATAAGTGTATTCTCATCCCACAAACCTAAATGGAAGAGATAGAACAACAACAACAAAAATTCGGGGAAGCTTGCATTTCTGAAAATTCCATGATTTGTTAAAGTGATCCTTGGCACTTCATCCTAGAGTTCATAAAATGGATCTTTACATTGAGGGCTCTTTATTTCAGTGCTAAATATTCCTGGTTAAACTAGAGCAGTGGTTCTCAGTTCTGGCTACACTCTAGAGTCACTTGTGGAGCTCTGAAAAATTCAGTGCTTGGAACCCAAATTAGACCAATAAAATCTGACTCTCTTGAGTTGGGGGTACATGCTCCTGCTGTGGAGATTGATTCAGAAAGTCTAGGTCATGTCTCCAGGTCTGCATTTTAAATAAGTATCTCAGGCAAATTTTATAACTTAGTTTAGAAAACACTGTCCTAATCTAGCCTAGTTATTAGGTGTTGTTCAGTGATCTGAATTTTTTACTTTAATAGTTATTTATCACATAGGAAGAAAAGCATTCAAAATGAAAACTCAGGTTATCATTTTAAAACTGATTTTTCCATAGCAAACCATTTTACAATGTATCTGTTAATTTTTATTCCAAAAGAAATTGTCAACTGTTATTCTTAGATAGCTGAATTTTTTTATTTTTGTTTTTGATTTTCAGGAAAATTAATCTGTTGAAGAATCTTGAGTCAAATCTTCTGAGCCTAGAACTACTGCTGTCAGCAACTCTAAGACTTTATCAGGTCTGACAACACTTTCTCTCAAGCCTACAGTGAGGGACGTCAACAAAGCTGTAGAAAACTCACGTCCTCTAGACTTACAGCCCTCAAGCTGCAGTAGCTGGGCAGAAACATTACAAGCTCCATCCTTAGGGGAGATTCAGAAGGAGAGGACAGGTGAAAACTCAGATATGCTGAGCCTGAAGTACACAAAAACCTTTAGGAAGTATCCTCACAGAAGAACCCAATTAAATCCACAAAATTAATGCATACATTTAGATGAGCTGTAGGTAAAACAGAGCCATTTGTCCCTCTACCAAAACACAGTGGAAGTCTGATTTAATACTATGAGAGATTCTTAGCCCCATACCAGTATTATAAAGCAGTTTCACCATATTTATTTTAATGAGTATAAGAGTAGGACTGTGGATATAAAATATTTATATTCCATGTATATATGTATATTTTTTAAATGACTAAGAATTTATGATAAAACCTATTCAGGAGAGGGTGCTGTGCTGGAGGACAGAGTGTGGCAATTGCCAAATTAGAACATTACCCTTTTCTTGCTCATGAACTACTGACTTAGCTCTGGTCGTGACTGCTTTGTATGAGACTGTTAGAACACCTCCAATATATGGAGACAGTCTCAGTCACTGTGGAATGCCTCAAAGGCAATAGAAATCAAATAGAAGCAGGTACCAACTCATGTCTCGAGTGATGACGGAGGTACATTTCAAGTACCATTGAAATCTCACTGGGCGAGCCCATTTCCCAACCTTGGCAACAGAGGTTGACACCACTTCAGATAAGTATTCCAACCTGTACATGTACGTGGGCTTATTCCTAAGCCTCCTGGCCATTCTTCTCATCCTGCTCTTCACAATGCTCCTTCGACTCAAACACGTCATCTCACCCATAACATCTGAGAGCACAGAAAGTGTTCCTCAATTCACAGATGTAGAGATGCAGAGTCAAATCCCAACTCCTTAAGCCAGGATGAATATGAGCTTTAGTAAGTCTTAGTAAACTGTTGTATGTTGATGTCCAGGATAGCTTACTGTGCTGTACATGGCTTCCCATGTAGGGAATCAACAAGTTGTTCATTTAACCAGTGGGTTATATTTTTGTTGTGTTAGTCTTTATCTTGAATCTGCTGTGGAATATCTAACAGGTTTTAAAACTCATTTTTTGCCAGAAATATAGGAAATGGCAGCTGACTGGGAGGGCATGTTTCCACAGTAACCACAGAACACCTGGGCTCCAGCAAACCTCAGACTACAGAAATTCATAAGCAACCACATAAAAAAAAAAAAAAACAGGATCCCTGGAAGCTCCAAGAACAAGGAAGATTTTCCTTTGAAAGAGTTGACTGAGGGCATACCTAGAAAAGGATAAGTTTGAACTTAGCACTTGGACCCTGTAAGAACCACCTCTGCTGACATGAAGCTATTTCGCGTGGCAGGTTAATGAAGGGACCCAAGACTTTTCTCAAACGTGCAGTGATTTTTTTCATGATGTAAGGCCATCAGGTCTGTCCCAAATGAAAGAAGAGATTTAAAAAATTGTTTCGGTTTAAAAATAGCAAATTTTCAGAAAGAATTTCTAGTCCACAGACTCATCTACAGAGGTAAAATGTGCATTTTCTATTTGCGTTATTATTGTTGTACTTGTAAAAATTCAGATAATAAGAGATTTATAATGACAATGTGGAATGAGGAGCTTCCCTGAAACCAAGCAAAAATTAAGTCAAAATGTGCTCACAACAATAAACCTTATATTGCACGTGTAAGATAAATTCTAGCCAAAATAAGCAGGCAAAGATAGGCAACAAAGGGCCAGGTAATTTATTTGAATGCTCCCGAGCGAGGTTCCATGGCCTGGCTGTCACAGGTCAGGGACATCATGCGAAAGCAGACAGGCAGTGAGTTTTTAAAGAAGGTAGGGGTAGACAGAGCTTAGATTTACAATGGCGCAAGGATTGGCTAGCCTAAGGCACATTTTTCAGGTTGGGAGGGGGCAGCAGCTGGGGACTTTGGCACGTCATCAGTGTCTCACCCCTCCCCCCAGTGCCTTCAACCTTACATTTCAGCCTTTTTGGTCATAATGGACAACGACTTTATCTGCTACTCTGGCTGACAAGGGGCGTTGTCGGGGGGCGGTTTCGTAGCATGTAGCTACATTGCTCTGACTGCAAACATCTCACTATACTTTCTCTAGAGGCTTTCACTTCACTCTAAACTTATGGTTTTTGTCTCATTTTCTCTTCTACAGATAGAGACTCTAGCTTCTGCCAGGGAAAAGGGGCAATGACCGCTTTGGCTGCTTCATGCTGAGAAGGGGTGCAGTAAAGGGTGCAGCTAGGTCTCCATCACTGGTCAGTTGAGAGGGCCTCAGAAAGCTGGTGCTTTTATTTTGTAAGGACAAATTTGATGAGAATAAGAATGCATGGCTGAATATGAGAACTAGAAATATAAGGAGTCTAATTGAGAATTATAGCCAGGTATCATGGGGAAACTAAAATTTTGGATTGAGTTTACATTTCAATGACTAGTATTAGGATTTAGTACAAGAAAGACTGCATTATTGAAAATAAAACTTTTCTCTAAAATCACCCTTATTTTTATTAGAAGTAGCTAGATTAAGAAAATAATTAACACTTGGCTTTATTATTTGCATAAGGGCAGCAAGAAGAGCAATTGATTACACAGGCTCTTTTAAATGTGCTTTGCTGGAACTTTTTGTAAGGAATTTTGGATTGAACTTTTAAAGGCATTTCGAGGCCAGAAAGCTAAGTAAGACTTGCCATCAGGTTGTGCCTGCAGTACTTGTACATTTGGGTGAATTACTATCTTCTTGAAGTTCTCAAGATGTTCCTGAGATTCCTGCACCTGCCAGGCAGCTGGGGATTCTGTAAGCAAGGTACTAGGTCAGTTCTTCTAAGAGGCTTTGTTGGCTGCATAAAGTCAATCTTAGTTCCTTAAAGCTGACTGTTCATATGTGAGTTTACACACGTGTCTCTCAGGTATGATGTTCCAGTCAAAGCTTTGGTAATATAACAAAGTGATTTTAATTGATCCTCTTACCAGGAAAGCAGATTTTTATTGAACTTGTGCAAATAAATATACTGCCATGAAATATAAAAATAGTCACTGAGGGTTTTTAAATTCTGGAGATATCAGGTAGAAAAACAAAGTTTCAATGCTGCTTATAAAGGCAGTCATTTACTAAACTGTTGTCAGCTAAAGAGAAAAGCTTAAAATACTTTATCAACAACATTTGAAACAAAAAGTCACAAAATCATTTTCTTTAGTTTACTTAATCTTATGTAACTAATACTTGTGCTGAAATCTAGTTTTTTACTAGTTTAGGAGTAATAAAACAGTGAGTATAGATGACAAAAGGTTTACAAATGACAATGGTTAAAGATCTGATGAGAGCTTACTGTAAGACAGCTGTCATAAGAAAATTTGGATATTTCTGCAACAAAAATAATTCAGTAAGAAAGTTTAGCATCATTCTCTGTGACAGTGCCTTCTAGGTAATTAAGCAGGTAAATAAGCAAAATTAGCCAAATATTTTCCTCAATGAGAAGAAATTCTTCTGACATGTTCTAGGGGCCCTTTGGAAAATATCAGAGTGAACCAGAGGTAAAAAGCACTTTTTTGAATTTGATTTTGGGATGCTGTTAAAAGTTTTAAGGCACTTGCTTAAATAGGATTATAGGTTGCTATGAAGCAATACTTATCTATTTAACTAGAATGACAACAAAATACCTCTAAGGCAAATAAAATTACACAGTTGTTAGCAAACTTTAGCTTTTAGTTCTTTTAATATTAAGATCTGATTTTCTTAAATATTCTGACAACTCATTGAGACTTTAAGCTTGAGAAACTTATTTAATAAAACAATTAGAGAACTCCCCTCCTACACTGCTGGTGGGAATGTAAATTAGTTCAACCATTATGGAAAGCAATATGGAGGTTCCTCAAAATGCTGAAAATAGAAATACCATTTGACCCAGGAATTCCACTTCTAGGAATTTACCCTAAGAGTGCAGCACTCCAGATTGAAAAAGACATATGCACCCCTATGTTTATCACTGCACTATTTACAATAGCCAAGATATGGAAGCAACCTAAATGTCCATCAGTAGATGATTGGATAAAGAAGAAGTGGTACATATACACAATGGAATATTATGCAGCCCTAAGAAAAAAACAAATCCTACCATTCACAACAACATGGATGGAGCTAGAGGGTATTATGCTCACTGAAATAAGCCAGGCAGAGAAAGGCAAGTACCAACTGATCTCACTCATATGTGGAGTATAAGAACAAAAGAAAACTGAAGGAACAAAACAGCAGCAGAAGCACAGAACCAAGAATGGACTAATAGTTACCAAAGGGAAAGGGACTGGGGAGGACGGGTGGTAAGGGAGGGATAAGGGTGGGAAGAAAAGAAAGCAGGCATTAGGATTAGCATGTATAGTGTTGGGGGGGCATGGGGAGGGCTGTGCAATACAGAGAAGACAAGTAGTGATTGTACAGCATCTTACTACGTTGAAGGACAGTGACTGTGAACTTGGTGACAAGTAGTGATTTTACAGCATCTTACTGTGTTGATGGACAGTGACTGTGAATGGGGATGTGGGGGGGACTTGGTGAAAGGGGGAGCCTAGTAAACATAATGTCCCTCATGTAATTGTAGATTAATGATAACAAAATAAATAAAATAAAAAGAAAACAATTAGAGAACTCATTGCAACCTTTTAATATTAAGAACAGATTAACAGTTAAGAAAACTATCTTTTTAACTGAAAACTAAATTTTAATTTTGCTGTGTACTTGATACTGAGATTTATTTGCTACATTTATTTAGTTTACTTATTTTTAACTATGCTAGGTTATTTACAAGACCTTTACTGAATATTAGAGAAAGCCAAGCTTTTAGGCATTTATTCCTAAATGATTTAGCAGATAACATCAACTTAAATGACATTAGGTAAACTTAGGCAGCTGATAACAAGGACATGCGTGCCTCAGCCAAATTCAAATTAGCATTAATGCTTAACATTTTTTATCAGATTTCCTGGACGTTTTAGAATGCCTAATTTTCACAAGCACTTGTTTCTAAATCAATTTTTATTAATACCATCTGGAGGTAGGAAAACATTTCTCATTTACACACCTAGACACACAAACATACAAATTGAGATGCAATGACTACAGTCAGCAACACTTTTTACACAAAAACATACACAGATAGACAAACTGATAAAAAGACTTGAGTTACTGATGTCTAATTGCTTTGTTTTTCTTCAGCTTCTTGTTTGTGGCTTCTGGAACTAGAGGGCAGGAAGAGCATGCTCTGGTGGGGGAGGCGGGAGGTGAAGTCAAAAGGAGAGGGAGAGGGGTGGTGCAGCCACTGGAAGAGGAGAGCAGAACAAGGGCATGGTTGAGAATGTAGGACATTAAGAGGGCGGTGACACGTGTGAAGACAAAGGACTTCAAGATGGTGATGGAGGGAGGGGAAGGGGATCACAAGCTGAGGGAAGCTGGCGACTGAGGTTTTCTGGCAGATCTGAAAAGGAAAGACTGGGCAGTGTAAGAGGCTGACAATATTTAACTGGAGATCAGGCCAGGAGAACTTGAGTCATTGAACAGAGTCCAAAAAGCCTGCACATATGGGATTTCACCCCACTCTCCACTTCAGTGGCAGTAATTAGTTAAGTCGCTGAGGAGGCCAAAATTGAAAATTCCCTGAGGGGGCCAGCGAGATTGGTTGTCCAAGGGATACTGAGGCCTGGTCTCAGAGCAAAGGAAGACCAGCTTCTGTTTGCGGACTTCCCAGGATAAACATAGAACAGCCAAAATAGAAATGAGATACTGCAGCGGGGTCTGAGCCTCCGCTTTTGAGGGCTGGTTCCCTATGTCTGCATCACCCCCCAACTAATCCCGCTCAGAGGAGCGCCCAGCATCCCAAGTGCACC